GGGGGCGGGGCCAGCGCACAAAGCCGGCCTCTGGGAGGCGCGCTACGGGACGCGGCGAGGGGCAGAATGCCTCGGCTAGCCTAACGCCTTAAAGGGACCGCGTGCTGCGCGCGCTCCTGCTCCAGAGCGTTCGACTCTACAAGGTAGCTGGTGCGTGTGTGCTACCGAAGTATCATAACCGTATGAAGACGTGCTAGCGTGACCCCTGATACCCAGGCTCTGAGCAGGAGGCGTTGCCTAACCTTTCTCCCCTGACTCGGAGCCCCAGTTTACTAACGCTGTGCTGATGGCCGCCCGGCTACCTGGGGGCGCACCTCCATTACCTGCACACCTCAGGTGCACCAGCTCCTCCCAAAGGCTGCCTCACCTCTTCCTCCCAGCATTGTGTAACCCGAAGAGCCTATCGTAAAACACTTGCTTAGCACACCGGTTTCACCCCCTCCCTTCCCGGGTGACCCAGGCAAGTGTTCCTAGCGCTGCCAGATGGGCAGGTGAAGGGCAGGAGCAGGTGGGCAGGTGAAGGGCAGGGGCAGGCTCACCGGTCACCCACTTCTCAAACGACATAGCTTTTTGACCCTCAGAGGTGGCCCTAGCTCCCCGGCCCAGGCGACGATGGCATGAGGGGTGAGGTCCTCACAGAGAGGAGAGCTTCCGCGCTGAGCTGGAGCCTGGTCCAGAGGACCCACTCCTGGAGGCAGGGCCTGGGGCCTGTGGATCTGTGACCAGCAAGGCCAGTCACCCATGGCCTGGAGCGGGAGAAGGGAATGCTGCCCGGTTCACAGCACCCGCTCAGGAGTGCAGATGGGCGCCTCCATCCACTGGGCAGCCTGGCGGGACACCTGAGCTCCAAGGGCTCCCGACACCTGCCAGGTAGCCCTCAGATGCACCCACTCCTCTCCAGCAACAGCCTGACTCCCCAGGTGAAGGCTCAGAAATGGCTTCCCAGGCCACTGGGGTCAGAAGGCAAACTGTTCACAGGGTTTGCCAGACCTTGCTTCCTGCTCCACCCTAAACAAAAACCAGGCAACCCCACTGTCCTTGAGCGGATGGCTGAGGACAACCTTACAGGGCAGCGTGGAACTGCTCCCTAGAGTCCCAAGGCTGTAAATCTTTACAGGAGCACACAGCCTCGTAGTTCTTCGGATGAGTGGCCCGGGGTGTTGAACTGATAGACCTTGAGGTTCCCAGCCCCTCCAGCCACCCTCTGTGACACCGGTACTCCTCCAGCCTCACTCCCTGCCGTCCAGTCCCAGCCCACGACGGCCCTGTGACCCTATAGGACAGGGTGGAACTGCTCTGTGGGTTCCCAAGGCTGCAACTCTCATAGAGCAGCTGGTGGTTTCAGAAAGCTGACCTTTCCACTAACAGCCCTCCAGCCTAGCACCCACCAAGCCGTGCACCCAAGCTCCAGGGCCTGGGAGAAAGTACTTCCACTCTCCAACCCTCTCTCCAAGGGGGGAGAGGGTCCTGAATTCAAATCAAGTAACAGATTCCCAACTTCTTTTCCCAGGGAAATTGGCCTGGCCCCACCCTCCACCCATGAAATGGAGATCAAGGATAAAAAAGCCAAAGAAAGTCTTCTTTTATTTTAATGATTTTTTTTAACATTGTGAATTGGGGGGGGGGGTATATTTCAGACCGCTGACTGCAGTCAACCACTCCTCCACGCTCACCTCCACCCAAGACCGTCCTCCTGATTGTTGAGCGGGTCGTCTGCAAAACAGCCCCAGAACCAGAGCTGAGACCCTGGAACACAGAACCAGCTGGGGTGTCAGTTTAGCCCAAACCCAGTAATTGTTTTTTATTACCTAAGTTTTCTGTCCCTTTATTCTCCTCCCCAAAGGAGCCCTCGTGGTGTAGTGGCTGGGCTGCCAACAATGGCAAGATCAGCAGTTTGAAACTACCCACAGTTCCATAGGAGAAAGGAGGTTTTCTAATCCCATTAACAGTTACAATCTCTCAGAGGGAGGGGGGGGAATGGAGCTGATCCGAAGGGCTCAATGGAAAGTAAAGGTCTAGAAAAGAACAATGGAATATCTGTATGAATATGTCGGATACAATTGATGTATGGATTGTAACAAGAGTTGTAAGAGCCCCCAATAAAATGAT